TCTGTCTATTTTATTGACTCCGTCAAGCCAGGCGCGGTTGTTTTGAGCTTAGCAGACAGGCGAACGCAACGAATCACCATGTCTACTGCGGTAAGTGACCATTTTGCTCCAATTGTCGAGTTTGAAAATTTCGCTGTTTTCTCGCTGGTTCCACCATGATAACTGCACGAATATCGCCACTGCGCTAGCAACGAGCATGCCTTTCACTGGGGGCGTGTAGCAGTTCTCGCCAAGGGGTTCCTGCAATTGTAAGTAGAGGTGAGTATTGGCATAAGTGTTGCGATACATGTCGCGATACTTGGGTCACGATACGATATTATAGTATCACTATATATTGCCATATTTTCCCCAGCTATCAAAATCCAATGATGAGATAAAACAGCAAGTGCTGTATATCTTCATTAGAAAATTTTGATTAGGTATTATTATCCATGTTGTTTGGGGTTTTCTTCCACTGTGACTGCCTCCAATACAGATTTGGTGCTGCACGCACAGTTAAGGGCTCCACAGCGCTTTCTGCCAGAGTGGTGGTGCAGAGGTAGCCCATTTTCCCACCAATGTTTTATGTAATCATATTTTTTTTTTATTGATACTAAGAAGTGAAAGATCGATATATTATATATCACGATATATCGCCAAAACGATTATTTCTCACACCCCTAATTGCAAGTACGGTATTTCCCCTACAGACCACCAGGGCAACCGAGAAAACCTTTGTTCGACCTGAAATGACTAATTTAATCATCCAAAACGTTATGGAACACATTAATTAACTGAAAAATGTTGCATAGTGTGCCTTTAACTTCACAGACAGCCTAATGACGGTTCTTTGTCTGTCTTCTGTTCTCCTCCTCGGAAAATTGAAGTGGTGACATCCCCACTTCACAATGAAGCAGAGTAAAGGCACCATCATGCTGTGGGAATGATTTCATTTAAGACATAATCTCCATTACTCTACCCTCTGAAAGCCAATCCGTGCCTAGCTCGGTTCCTTACGACCGTTTAAACATCGCCCTAGCACGATTCCTCGCCTCCTAGTGGCGATCTACGGTACTACAGCTCTCTAGAGGTAAACAAGCAAATCCACATGGAGGTGCTCGTAACATTCAGGAAGTTTGGTTATAACTGTGATATTTTGTTTTTCCACTTTTGCACTGGAAAAAAATCAAAATCTAGATAAGTAATTTTTTCTTAAAATAAGTGCATTTGTTCTTGAATCGAGGAGGTACAAACGACATTTTGCCAATAGAACAATACAATTTACATTTAAATTAAGAGAATACAATTGTGTGGTCTTATTTCAAGTGCTTTTAAGAGTAAAAATATTAATTCCATTGGCAGATCATTAAATTTACCTACTCAAATTAAGGGTAAATACACTTAATTTAAGACATTTTTTACATATTTCTAGATCGTTTTTCCAGTGTGGGAAGTTGATACGACAAACGATAGTCTAATCAGGGCTTCCAGACGCAGGAAACAACGACAGACGCTGAGGTTCATTGCATTGCTAAGCAGAAGCATAAATGGAAATCGTGTGGCACGGTAGGGAAGCTAGGATTTTTATAAATGTCTGAAATTTCATGATTATGTAGGCCGACTTTAAGGATATGAAGCCGTCCGCTCATGCACTTATTTCAAAAACCGAGCCAGAACTGAACCGCGCCGAGACCTACTGATGAACTAGTACCAGTTTAGCATGGTTCGGTTATGTCTGACGCGGCCCGGTTCAGTTGTGCCATTTACACTCAACAATTATCTCGGTTACCGCACTCAGACCGAGGTTATAACAGTTCAGTTAAAGTTCAGACGTAAATCCAGCTCAGAAAATCCTAAAAAAATTCATCTCAGCTTCAGATCAGGTTTTCTAAATTATGCCATTAACATATTTCTTTTAATTTAAGGCAATGTTTGAAAATGAAATTAAACCCACAAGTGCTTTTTGTGAGCTGGACCTCTTTCAAATATAACTTCGGTGTCTAGATGTGTAAAGCTGGTAGAGACGTCCCACTGTTAAAACCTGTCCTGCTTTTCTGTTGCATCATAGTTTGCGATTGTTAGGTGGAAAACGTTTTTCCTTTTGAGCAAACTTGCAAATGATCCAGTCTTTAGCAGCTCATAGTGGTTTATGTGTTCCAGTCCTGAACTGGTACGGCTGCTCATCTTCCTTCCTTTTGTTTTCACATCCAGAGAACATTGTTCCTGGTTTATTTTTTTACATCTTAGCTTCATAACTTTAATCAACGTGTCCTAACTGACAATTTCCAGATACATCTGTGGGTTTTTCTTTTTATTCTTTTTTGAAATAACCTTCCCCCCCAGGTAAAACCCTATATAAGAGGAAAAAAAAAAGAGTAGATAGACTCCTTTTGTCCTCAGGAAGTCAGTTTACCTCCTAGAGGTAAACAGAGATTATTGAGAGGAAATGTTGCTGATATAAAAAAAGGAAAATGTCACTCAGACCTGACAGATTTACAATCGTTTATAATGAGCTTCAAAGAGACAGAATCGGCTGATAATAATCCCTGGGTTTAATTTCTGCTGTGCACATCTTCCCTTTGATCTATTATTATAATAAAATGAGTCATATCTCCTTTAAACTTCCCCAAATGATCCAAAGAAGACGGCGTTGATATTTACAGGATGTAGGCCTTGGTTTCCTCAGGTCTGCTGCAGAAGAGACTCAGGCCGCCTGTTTTGTCCCAGGCGGAGTGAAGAAACCTCGTTAGGCTTTAGACTAGTTGAGGATGAAAGACAAACGTCTGCTTTCTGCATTTTATGTGTGATAATTTTCACTGGATCATTGAGCCTGGAAGCGGCCAGGCTCAAAAGGAGTCTTGAGGACAAAAGGAGTCTATCTACTCTTTTTTTCTCTTATATAGAGTTTTACCTGGGGGGGGAAGTTTATTTAAAAAAAGAAGAAAAAGAAAAAACCCACAGATGAATCTGGAAATTGTCAGTTAGGACACGTTGATTAAAGTTATGAAGCTAAGATGTAAAAAATAAACATGGAACAAAAAATGATTTCCTGAGGACAAAAGGAGTCTATCTACTTTTCTCTTATATAGGGTTTTACTGTGTGGATTATTTCCACACAAAAAAGAAGACAAAGAAAAATCTGGATTTAGTCAGTTAGGACATGTTGATTAAAGTTATAAAGATAAGATGTAAAAAAATAAAACAGGAACTTTCTCTGGATGTGAGAACAGAAAGAAGGACCAGTTCAGGACCGGAACACGCACTGCAAAAAATAGAAATCTCAATAAGTTATTATTTTTTTCTTAAAATAAGTGCATTTATTATTGAATTGAGGAGGTAAGTGAGACACTTTGCCAATGAAACAAGACAATTTACTTTTAAAATAAGAATGTTATTGTCTTATTTCAAATACATATCATCTAATTATCTTATTTTAAGAGTAAAAATACTAATTCAATTGGCAAACTATCTCATTTACCTATTCAAATTAAGGGTAAATACACTGAATTTAAGACATTTTTACTTATTTCTAGATCGTTTTTCAAAAGGTCTTAAAAAATTTCTTAAATTAAGTGCATTTACCCTTAATTTGAGTAAGTTAATAAAAATGATTTGCCAATATAATTAGTAATTTTACACTTAAAATTATACAATTGGATAATATGCGCTTGAAATAAGACAAATCCAATCGGTTTTTCTTATTTTAAATGTAAATTGTCTTGTTCCATTGGAAAAGTGTCTCATTTACCTCCTCATTTCAAGAAGAATGCACTTATTTTAAGAAAAAATAACTTAAATTTACATTTTTGCTGTGCTTGAGGCTCTTACACTGAAAAAAATGATCTAGAAACAAGTAACAATGTCTTAAATTAAAAGTGTAATTGCTCTTAATTCGAGTAGGAAAATACTTTGCCAATGGAGTGTTTTTATTTTTAAAATAAGATAATTATATCATATGCACTAAATAAGACAATATACGCTGCAAAAAAAAGAAATCTAAATAAGTCATTTTATCTTTAAATAAGTGCGTTTTTTCTTGAATTAAGGATTTAAGTGAGGCACTTTGCCAATGGAACAAGACAATGTACACTTAAAATAAGAAAAAACAATGTATTCTCTTATTTCAAGTGCATAATATTTAGCTACCTTATTGTAAGAGTAAAAATAATCATTCCATTTGCAAATCATCTTTTTTACAAGCTCAAATTAAGGGTAAATACCCATAAATTAAGACATTATTACTCATTTTGAGATTGTTTTCGCAGTGTACTGGAAAAACATTGAAATCTAGATAAGTCATTTTTTGTTAAAATAAGTGCATTTTTCTTGAAATGAGGAGGTAAAAGAGACATTTTGCCAATGGAACAAGACAGTTTACATTTAATATAAGAAAACTCCCTTGCATTGTCTTATTTCCAGTGCATATCATCTAATTATCTTATTTTAAGAGTAAAAATACTCATTCCATTGGCAGATCATCTTATTTACCTGCTCAAATTAAGAGTAAATACACTTAATTTAAGACATTTTGGCTTATTTCTAAATCGTTTTTTCAGTGTGCAGTTGTGTTTTCTTATTATAAAGGTAAATTGTCTTGTTCCAATAGCAAAATGTCTCTTTTGCCTCAATCCAAGAACAAATTCACTTATTTTAAGCTAAAAATGACTTCTCTACATTGTTTCCAGTGAACCGCAGGGACCCCCGTTCAACACAAACACATTTAAAGAATAGAAAAGGAAAGATTTTTATTCTTTTCACACCAAACTAACACTTAGATCCTTAACCTTAAAGGAAACTGTAAACATTTGAACAATAAAAAAAAGAAAGAATTGGAAATGTGAGCGCTGGCCACGCAGACAATCGATAATCCTTATTACATCTGCCTCACACCAAAAAGAAAAAAATAATACTCTAATTTACCTTTTATCTCTGCAGATATAAAAGCAGAGATTTTCCTCTGATTAAAGAACAGAAGTAGCTGCGGGGTTTAGCGGTACTTTGCTGTAGCAGAAGATGCCTACCTTCTCATTGAGTCGGATAATTTGGTCCATTTTGTGGTCGCTGTGTAGAAGCTCCGTCAGCTCGGCGGCGCTTAAAGCTCTGTAGCCGTCCGGACAGGAGCCTCCTTCCTTGGACATGTTTCCAATCCTTAGGAACTGCGGCTGGAACAGAGAGACGGTAGGGAAGCAGCGAAGTCCCGCCGCACTCTGCTCACATCTCGCATTGGAATGCGGAGCGCCCCGCACGCGGCGTCACAAAACCGCCACATTTCCGGCGGAGACTTTCAAAATAAAAGCTCTTCTCGTAGCGTTTCCTTTGTCTCACTGAATATTGGAGTAACAACAGAAAATAGAGACAGTGGCGGTTCTAGATACCAAGGGGGGGCAGAGTGGGCCCAGTGTTGTTTTTAAAGTTGAAGGGAAGTCATATATAAATGTCAATTCCGGCCTAAACATGTATATAAATGTACTCTTTATGAGACCATATTGTCCCAAAAGTTAGAAACTTTCTATTTAAAACAAAATCCTGTCTTAAAATCTGTGTTTTTTTTCTCGTTATCTTCTGCAGCCCAGTTAGTTCTAAGTCAGCCTGAACACCTAAATTCGGCCAATCATATATCAACAGTCATCTGTCAATCAAATTTTTTCGGTCATAGCATCTTGATTCATATGTCGCAGCTAATATACGCAACGGTTGAAATCAGAATCCTTTCCTTTCCCATTGAGTTCCGTCCCAGTGTTCACGGGGATGGACGTCTGTGTCTTCGGCAGGTGTAGAGCTAACAGAACTGGCAGCGTTGCGAGGCAAGGGCTCAAACATGTACGGCTGGAAGCCTTCTACACCAAACCAAGCTTCTGGCGCCCTGGCGTCCTCTTCCACAACATCTTCGTCCCCGCTTTCCTCCTCTAAATAAAAAATGGATGACGGAGGAGACTCATCCAAGACCTCCGACACTAAACTCTCCTCCTCTTGCATGTTTCCGCTGTCCATAGCGTTCCTTGACAGTGTCGTTTCTAAGTCACCAATTTAGCGCTTTTGTCGCTATATTTAGCGACTTTTCAGACCCCTCTAGCACTTTTATTTCAAAAAAGCGCCTATTGGCAAACCTAGCAACTTTTTTCTGCTACTGGAGACTTTGGCGCCAAAATCTAAAAGCAGCGAACTCTGCTCTCCAGAGCGAGTAGATTGGTAACCCCGCCTCCTGCTCTCCTCTATCTTGTTTTGCTGTCATGATTCATGCAGCTATTATTTCATCCAAATGAAAAATGGAGAACAGATAAGCAGATCATGGCTTGTCCGCAGTGAAAAGAAGGACTGGATTATTTACTTTGGCCTTTTTGGAAACACAGGAAGGAGCAATCAGCTAAGTGAGCTTAGTGCTTGGAAAAAATCTTTCATTCCTTTAGAGACAGCATGAAAAGTCAGCTGAGTACAAAACATAGAGAGGAAAACAAGAAGAAAAGGGACAAGAAGAGAGGGACAGAACCTAGAACAGATAATGGATGTCTATTCTATTAACATTTCTCTATCTGTAGAATGGGTCTGTTTTATGTGTTGTCTTATCCATTCAGAGGGCCCCAAATTTCCTAAATCCATGGCAAAAATAGAAGTCAATGTAATAACAACTTGTCCGACTTAAGAAAAATAATAAAAGTGCTTCTATAAGAAATTCATGAAAAACACTCTGAGAAGAAGCACATTTTTTTGGTACAACATAACCTTAGAGGCATTAATGCTTTTTACCTTTTTTCTTGTTAACTTTCTTTTCCAGCTTCATTTCCAGTAGGCAATATTTAATTTAAGGGCTCATCTAATTGGTCAAATGTCAAAATAAGAAGTAGTCATGTAGCAGCATCTTTGCTGAATGGCTGGATATAGATCTTGTGCTTCTAGACCTCACTGAGGGACAGGGGGGACTCCATTTGTAAGGGGTATGCAAGTGATCAAAAACGATCAGTTGCCCTATAAAGGGTTAAGAAATAGTTTCTTAGAAAACAGAGATAAAAACTTTCCTAAAAATGTCTTTTCTCCAAATAACCTCTGTTTTAGTTTGAGTCTGGGCCAGTTTCCCAGTGCATAGCTGCTCATGGAATTGTTCTGCATATTTAAAGCGTATGAATATTGCAAATGTGCTGCCATGTCAGTGGAAACTGATTTTTATATTTAATAGGAAGTAATTGATGAGTGACACGCTGTTATTATGTGGTTAGTGAGGAGGAAAGTTACTGTATGTAGGTCAGAGTCAGAGTGTTGGCTCAGGGCTGTTTTAATATTCATTTTATTCAATACTCTAATATAAGTCATTTATTGCCTTTTTTCATATTATGATCATATATAATGTGTGCTGCTGCAAGCCACTCTTGGTTTGGTAACCACCAGGGGGCGCCAAAGGCATCTGTTGGTTATGGTTCAATTCGATGCCAAATAAAAGACATTTTATTTTATGTCACTGGTTTCTTTATTCATGTCCTTTTCTATTTTTCAGAATAATGTTGTGTGTTTCTTTAAAAGCATATCAATAATGGGAAATAGAGGAAAAAAGAGATCTTGTTAACCTCCAATTACACTGTAAACCTGAGTGTTTAAAAGTAATGACTCAAATATAATACCTAAATATCATTATTTAGTAAAAGCTCTGCTCACCGAAATCTGTTGAGGTATCATAACATGTCCTTGCTTTATAGTAAATTTAACCTAATCCTAGGCTTGAGTCTGGATTGTTTTTGTATCAATAAAGCATAACTTCTATAACGTAATAAAAAAACAACTTAACTTAATAATGAGGAAGTAGTTTTGCAGGTTTTGATAATAAGTCATTATTGGCTGACTAGTACAGCAGCACCATGAGTTAGGCTGCTTTAAACCTTTAAGATTTTATGAGGACTGTTCAATGTTGCCACATGCTGAGCAGACAAGAGTCAAGAGTGCAATAATAATGCTTGATTGATAATATAGTACAGAAAATTAAAACGTCTGTTTTTACGTGTTGAATTAATATGAACAAGTGCAGCCATTGTATAACAATATAAATCTAAATTAATCTATTTTAAATTTCTCCTCTGTGAAATCATAAAGTCAGTCAATAATACATAATTAAACAATGCATGTGAATATTGGAAGCTTTGAACAGTATATTAAATTGTTATTACCCACGTTACCTTAACAAGGCTATTAAATTAAATGCATTACATTTTAATTATAACGTTTGAGATGATAGACTTAAAATTGGTAAAGGCAGGTCTGCTCAGTGGGGCAGTGGGTAGGACTGCTGCTTTATAGCAAGAAGGTTCTGGGTTCGATTCCCCGCCTTGAGTCTTACTGCATGGAGTTTGCATGTTCTCCCTGAACATGTGTGGGTTCTCTCCAGGTACTCCAAAAACATGACTGTAAGGTTCATTGGCTTCTCTAAATCCTCCTTAAGGACTGGTTATTGTGTCGCAGTGGACTTCTCGCAGATTTTTTTGATTTATGCCCAATAATGAAGCGTGTTCTGTGCTGTTATTCAACGCCACAAAGAAAGAGGGCCAATCAGGAACTAGCTTTGGGTCTAGATACGGCCGAGGCGGTGAGGAATTGGGAGCAAGTTTGTGCGACAACGGAGGGACATAAGGGCCAAAAAGAGCGGGGATCCAGGTAAGAAAAGGGTCCCAGCGTTCTCAGGCTCCTCGCTCTTCTAGCGGGTCCATCTTCGCCGTCGTTTTTCACAATGGCGGTCATACGAACAAAACAAGCCGGTAAGGAACCAAACAGGAAATATGCATAGATTAGAGAGGATGTAGATTTGACCAATCAGAGGCCTCCTGTCTGCGGTCACACACACCTCTCTCACACACTGTACCAGGGACTGCACCTTACCTGCACTACCTCAGCCTGGAATACACTATTGCTGCTGCTTTTATTGCTTTTATTGTAATGTCTATACTCTATATCTATCTTATCTTCTTTTACATGTTCAATGTTAAATATTGAATGTTAATGTTAAATGTCATATGTTCTTTGTACTGTATTTATTATTGACCACTTATTGTTACCAGTCCACCGCACTTTATGTCAGTCTGCACTGCAAAAAAAGGAAATCTAAATAAGTCATTTCTTCTTAAATTAAATGCATTTTTTCTTGAATTAAGGATTTAAGTGAGACACTTTGCCGATGGAACAAGACAATTTACACTTAAAATCAGAAAAAACAATTGCATTGTCTTATTTCAAGTGCATTTTTTTCTAGATACCTTATTTTAAGAGTAAAAATACTACCTCCATTGGCAAATCATCTTATTTACCTGCTCAAATTAAGGGTAAATACCCTTAATTTAAGACATTTTTTACTCATTTTAAGATCATTTTTGCAGTGTGTAAAATGTCAGTCTTGTATATGTCTTGTTCTCACTGAAAAACGATCTAGAAATAAGTAAAAATGTCTTAAATTAAGTGTATTTCCCCTTAATTTGAGTAGGTAAATGAGATAGTTTGCCAACGGAATGAGTATTTTTACTCTGATAAATAAGATAATTAGATAATATGCACTTTTAAATTAAACAATGCTATTCTGTTTTCTTATTCTAAGTGTAAAATGCCTTGTTCCATTGGCAAGATGTCTCTTTTACTCCCTTAATCCAAGAGCAAATGCACTTATTTTAAGAAAAAAATGACTCGTCTAGATTTTGATTTTTTCCAGTGCTGGCATGGCATAGAGAGAAAACGTAATTTCATTTCCCTTGTATTTCTTGTGCGTATTAAGAAAGTGACAATAAACCTGACTTGATGCTTGATACTTACAATTTTGTGCAGATGTACAGCAGAGTGTCTACAGAAGGGGCGGGGCATATCTGCGTTCACTGTGACACGCAAACCGACAACCTGGTTTCTAGTATAAACCAGCCTTTAGGTGCGTGATTGGTTGTGTTTCATGTTATTTCTGGTGACCTGTCCAGGGTGGACCCTGCCTCTTGCCTGTAGACAACTGGAGATAGACACCAGCACCCCTCGTGACCCCGCTTGGGATAAGCGTGACGAAAAATGG